TTTGTAGTCAAGAAGTAATAAATTCTAACCAATAGTAAATCGAACCACAATAATCTTCTGTGGCATTATTATGCATTTATAAGGTAATGTCAACAACTATAGGCTTAAGTAGTATAAAAAGGCATAACATCACCAGAATAAGCAGCCAGAAAACTGATAAGCTTGATAACATTGAGAGGAAATGTTAATATTAGGAGTGACACTATGCCTCGTGTAAAATACTTCTCAATTAAACTGCTGCGAAGGTTAAGAGATATGAATAGTTCACATCGTTGAAGCAAAGGATAACTTTATTGCAATGAACACACAATTTTATCTTTAATTCAACAAAGTCAAAACACAGGAGGAGGCTTTGCAGTCCAGGAAGCTAATTGAAACAAAGCTACAACCCAGGAAGCAAATTGAAACAAATCTTATCAGATCGCCATGAATGGTATAGACATGCAATTCATTTGTTGTTTGATACTTATGCCTTGAAGCACCTTTCACGTCAGGCTTTCATGATAAGCCTTAAAGCGTACGCTTTTAGTGCCATTTTTTGGCCTACGCATCAAATCCTGAGAGTTATGCTTCACAGGCATTAAGGTGTGCACTCATTTGTCTTCCCTTTTATGAACTTATTATTATATCAACTTTTTGGCTATTTTTTTACAGGCTACAACATTTTGCTTGTTTTTGTTTCTGTGATTGTCTGGAAAAAGGATGTGGATGATGGTTAGATGTTGACACTTGTCCTATTTGAACAGTGGCAAAAGTTAGCCTCCTTCTTTATATGTGTAGAAGATGTAGACTCAAACACAACAAATTCAGTCAACATACAAAAGCTATCTCTCTATAGTATCAAGAAACCTTAACTTATCATCAAAAAGGATGATAAATTCTTTTTATCTTCCGCACCACTCCTAGTTGGATGAGTATCAATATTGGACTTACCATTTAATGCTGTCTCATATGGGGATTCATCCACAGTTTGTACACATAGCATTACTTTTCCATAAAACGGGGACAACTCATTCTAATTTAGAAAGACTTGTCAACTTTTCCAAAAAAAATGTAGCATTTTTTCTTTTATTTTACTCTTCACTAGTTATTTGCCCGTGCAATGCACGGGCTGAGTTATTTTGAAAGTAATATTAGTGT